TGTGTGTGTGCGTGCGCGCGCGTGCGTGTGTGCGCAATCGTGCATAGGTTTGTACAAGCATCTGGTAAATATCTCCCTGGACGTCGCTCTAGAGGCGTTTTGCTTGCTGTCCCAATTTGACATGTTTGTCTTAATGCCTGCTACCACGTGCAATCAATTAGCATCGTTGCCGTAACAATCATCATCCATGAAAGGGACGGTCCAAAACATATTCAGAATACTAAGTGAAACAGCAGCAATTCGCGACATGCATGCGTTGGTCAGCATGACCTCTACGGTAGGGGTTCTTGGCAGGTTGTGAGGAGCATTCTTGAAAGCTGATCGTCTGCAACGTTTGACTTTGACCATCATCGCACAGATGATCTTTGCCGCTATCACACATTTATTCAGCGTCATGTGTTTACAATGCATACAGAAAGGCCATCAGGATGCTTGTAATGAGCACCACGCAAGTGGAATCGACGTAATGTGGCAATAAACATTCCATACCCCATCAGCCAGCCCAGTAAGTCCATAACATGATATCCTTCAGCCGGGCGTGTCATCAAGCAATTCTTGTAGGTACAAGTTAAATACAAGTTTGTTTGAAATATTCAATAATGCCTGGTTGGTTGGATCGGCGACACCAAGTATCCATGGTGGGTGGCTGCAGCCTGGCCACGCGCGTCAGACTCTAAGCTACCGGCCGCAAGTACAGGGGTGCGAGGCCAGATCACGTGTGGTGTCTAAAGCCAAGCCCTTGCCTGGCAGTGTGCACAACAATTGCAGATAATAGTGAAATATCATCGCATGTCAGCACTGCTGCCCAATGTGCGGAGCTACGGGAACAAGGTGCCCACACACAACCAGGCCCAGCCTGTCGTTGCGGGCCACAACGACATAGCGCCAAAGGAGGAAGCTAGGAGGACACTGCTGCACTGATGGGGCGCCAGTGCAGCAGCGCAAGCGAGGCAAAATTACCAGCGAAGGTGTAGATTGCGGAGCGCCACAATCGAATATTCAAGGGCACATGTCCCCAAGACCGCGGACAGGAGGACAGCACTGCAAGCGCTGGCCTGCTGGCCATCGCCCCCAGGCCGTGGTTGCGCTCCAAGCTATGTTGACAGGGCAAGGGCAGAAAGCATTGATGGCACACGCTGAGAGAAGAAAAGGTTGACATTGCCATCAGCATGCTGATATGGGCCCCATGCCAGCCGACAGGAGGGAGTCACAGGACTCCAAGAAATGTCCGGCCACAAGTTAGACTGCGGTAGGTTTCGTGAAGGTGTTCGCGTATTTGTTTGGCCTGACAGTGTCAGCAACACATCATACGACAGGATGTGCAGCATTTGGCTTTTGATTCGAGTAAAACTAAGGGAAGGCGGCAAGAGGCGCACAAGCCATAGCCGGTGGCGGTGTGCAGCCTGCATGTCAGCCGGGTCAATGAGTCAACACGTACCAAGGACAAGCACTGCTTGCCCATCACCGGCGTGAAGACCACATCACCGGCCATGGACAATGCTGTCAATGCCATCCTCCCAGCGAAACCGATTTGGGCGAGCTCTGGCGCGCCTCTGCCGCTTGGCCCGAGAGCCAAGGCGCCCGAAAACCCGCCCCGACCGACCGATGAACGCGCGGGCTCAGAGGGTGCGTGCGGACGCACGAGCAAGCATAGCGCTCAACGGCCTTGGGCCAGAACGCCGTGGCCGAGCTGTCGGGCGATCCCGGACGCAGGCCGGCAGACCAGACCTAGCGCCGTCGGCTTGCACCTGCTCGCAGCGGGCCCGACCGTGTCAGAGCAGGGGGCCGCCGTCATTCCTGTGCCTAATGCAACAACAGCCTCCTGGCGCTGTAGGGGCAGGCCGCTGCCAAGTTTCTGGGATCGCACTCTTGGCGGTATGTGTTGCGAGACGTGTACTGCGGGGGTTGAGGAGAGCAGGGGCAGGCGTTGCAAGGCGCACAAGCCATGATTGCAGGACGAGTGGCAGGCATAGTTCTGGCGCATGTTGCAGGCTCAGAAGCGGGCGAGAGGCGCGGCGGGATAGTCACGTTGCTCGTGGCAGCAAGTCGCCAAAAAGAGCGATGCGCCGGGGCAGCGGGCAGGCACTAGATCGGCGGGACGCACCTTGCAGATAGACGTGATACCCCAGGTTGCCTGACACTTGCACACGGTCTGGAAGGAACTTGAGCCGGCCAGGAAGCGGCTATATTCAACCTGCCACACTGGCAGGTTGGCTGCAGCGAGGCGGTGCAGTGACGTTCCAGATTAAAGCGCTGGGTGTTTTGAAGTTGGTCAAATGACTTGGATCCAGATCGCGTGCTTGGCCCGACAAGTTTGCCAAACCATGCGTCATGTGACAGCCGCACATCAAGAACAGCAGCACATTCCAGGAATCCCATTCATCATGAAGATGACGCCAGTCGAAGGAACACGGTCAACCCTAGTGAAACCTGCGCCAAGCTCACCGAGCTTGGCAGGCTTGTACAAGCCGCACTCTGCGTACCTCATGCACTCCCTGCAAAGGCATGGTGGCGTGGCATACGCAAGGGCTGCCGTCAGCCTACAACAAAACACAAGTCCCGCACCCACCGTCTGGCTGGGTCAACCAGAGCCAGAACCATCAGGGTCTCACCACCATATTTGGCTGCCAGGGTCCGCTAGAGGCAGTCGTTATAGACTCACTCATTAACAAAGAAGTCAAAGGAGGGCAGCAGCTGCTCCACTTGGCGAAGATCATTCATCAGCCCAGCAGCCAGTCCCAGTTTGTGAGCCGCGTTGGCCAGGAATGTGTTGTAGCTGATCTGGTCGGCCGCGGTGAGGCCCATGCCGTTGTCGTTGGCGAAAGCGTCGAGGCCTTCAGGCACCGCCGCCACAAAGCCCTTTGACTTGCACAGCTCCAGGCGCTGTGGGTGGCAGTGGAGCGGATGGAATCACTGGCCAATGAGAGAAGCTAAGGGGCTGTTGCAATTGCACTCGTAAGCATGCAACCAGGCGCTAGTACTGTGCCACACAATCAAAACACCAGCCCCTTTGATGTGTTGATCATAATGCTCCGCCTCACCTTTTGCATGATGGATCGCACGTTGAGAGACTGAATGTCAAGCCAAGATGATGTGGGGTGGTCTTCGTCTGTGAACTCATCAGAGTCCGGTCGCCAGTCCTCATAGATCCCAGCATTGAAGCGGCACACTGCAAATCCGCCCTTGGCTGCGATGGCGGCTGTGGTTGCGGCGCTGTTGTAGAAGAGGTCGATCACGTAAACCCTCGCGGATTCCACCCACATGGTGGCGGGCACAAACTCTGCTGACGTCATGTACTGCCACCCCAGGTTGTCGGAGGCCTTGGGCCGCCACCAGGTTGGGCTGGGGCTTGGGGATGGAGAAGGGCTGGGGCTTGGGGAAGGTGATGGGCTGGGGCTTGGGGATGGTGATGGGCTGGGGCTTGGGGATGGTGAGGGG